ATGTTTTTATGAAGTGGTTCTTTTGTTTCCCCAATATACAGATCTACACAGGGCTCCCTGCATTGTACTCAAACCCATGCAAATGACCAGCTGTCTGCAAGAAGTATAAATATTTCCATTCCCCACCATCCAGTCAGAGCTGAAGAAACTTCTTGGAGGAGAAGCAAAACTTCAAAAAACAAAACAAAACCAGAAAGTCCAAGTTGCCTCTTGAAAAAAGCACCTTTGCGGCAACCGTGACCTGGAGGACCGAGAATCTCTACAGATTTTTTAGCTATATGATTTGAGGTGAACACTGTTTGAATGGTGTGGGAGGAGGAATGGATTTCCAGAGGAAAAATTGCAGACTACTAGAACCATTTGCCCTACTCAATTGATCATGAGGACACAGAGAAACTTCCAAGTGGCCTCAATGACCCTCTAAAAGGATGCAAATGACCAACTGTTTGCAAGGAGTATAAATCCTTCCATTCCCCACCATCCAGTCAGAGCTGAAGAAGCTTCTTGGATGAGAAGCGAAAGGTCTCAAAAGCCCAGTTGCCGCTTGTAAAAAGCACCTTTGGGACAACCATGGCCTGGATGACTGAGAATCTCCATAGACAAATGATGCCATCATTTGTGGAGTTGAGTTTTGAATGCTCTTCCTAACACTCAGACAAGGGGAGCGATTTTCAGGAATTTGGCAGTCATCATACGTCATAAATATCAAAAAGTCTTGGACCAGATTTGATTTTGGTGGAGGTTTTTTTAGAAGATTTAACACATGAAATACATCTCTTAAACATTCACCTGAGCTTGGAAGTGGGTTGATTTAAAGGGGAAAAATATCAAAAGAAAATTCTACATGATGTTTCTCATTTGGATATTAAAATAAAAATAAAATTAGGGCAAATCAAAGAGAAAAGAAATAACTTCTCCGTCTTTCTCCATAAAAGAAGTTCCCCAAACACCATCAGATGGGAGTCCTTGACTTATAAACATGTTTGGGACTCTAATTTCCATGGCTATGCAAGGAGGTGTTATTTTTTGTTTTAAATGTTTTTATTTAATTTTTTTTAAATTTTTATATAAACAATCCATTTTCCATTAGCCAGTCTGTCGTCTGGGTACAAATATTTTGTCCCAACCTTAAAATATGCAATCCCATTTTAATTTATTTAACTCTATTAGTTATATTGGCTATTAATACATTTTCTATACTTTAGATAACTCCTTGTACTATTAATTCTTATGTCTATCCTCTAACCACCGGTAAAAAGATTCCTAAATTGTATAATAATCAGTTTGTTCATTCTCTTTGATAGCCAGTATCCATCTGTTCATTTCTGCACATTCTAATATTTTCCTAATCACATTCTCCTCTGTATGGATTCTCTTCACTTTTCCAATTTTGTGGAAATAGAATCCTAGCTGCTGTTATAATATGAATAATGAAATATACATTTTCTTTTTATGACCTGGTTTTTATGACCTTTTTTCCCCGGGTAATTGGATGCTGTGATGGTCGTAACTGCAAGGACTGGTTGTAAGTTACTTTTTTTTTTCAGGGCCCGCTGTAACTGAATGGCTACATGACCAACTGAAAGCTCGCTAAATGAATGTTTGTAAGATGAGGACAACCTGTAAATTCATCTGAAAGTGAGAACAAAAACAGAAGCCTTTTCTGAGAGAGAGAGAGAAACTTTCTGGAAATTGGAGGGCAGAGGGGAAGGGTTTTTTGGCATAGTTGTGTGTGTGTGTGTGTGTGTGTGTGTGTGTTTTGGTGTACTTCAGGAACTAGAAGTGATGTCCCACTAGGTAGCTGAGAAAGTCCCCCCAAATCTTGGGTCAAAGTTTAACCATTCATCCCCATCTTTGCTCTCTATGACCTCAAAACCGGATCCTGCAGCTGGGATTACTCAGTCTGTATGCCAAACTATATATTAAACTAGGCAATCAGATCCAGAGAGGCGAGAAGTTAAGATTGAGGTTTGCAATATGAAATGTCCTTGGCAATGTAATAAGAAATGACTATCTTACCTTGTAACACAGATTTCCATAATAATACATCTTTTTGAAATTAGAGCTTGTAATAATAAAGGAGAGAGACAGAGAAAGACCGAGAGAGAGAGAGAGGGAGAGAGAGAGAGAGACAGTAATCTTGGTTTCCTGACTGACATAGTTATCCTTATTGGATCTCCTTATCAGTATCCATTTCCTCTTGAAGGACATTATTAAGGTTCTGTCTGGTTTTGGAAGCTGGCTAGGAAGAACTGGCCAGGAGAGACATTTCATATATTCCGTAATTGGATAATTGTTCCGATCATATTGTTAAGGAGCAACGAGAACAGACGGTTATTAAATTTACTGGCCTGCAAGTGGAGAATTTCATAAACCAAAGAAGGAGAGAGAGAGAGATGTGAGAGAGACATACAGACAGAGAGAGATGAGAGACAGAGAGAGATGAGAGAGACAGACAGAGACAGAGAGAGACAGTGAGAGATGAGAGAGAGAGAGACAGACAGACAGACAGTGAGAGATGAGAGAGAAAGACAGAGAAAGAGAGACAGAGACAAGGAGAAAGAGAGGCAGAGAGAGACAGAGAGAGACAGAGAGAGACAGTGAGAGATGAGAGAGAGACAGAGAGAGAGAGACAGAAACACACAGAGAGAGAGAGAGACAGAGAGAGACAGAGACAGATGAGAGAGAGAGAGAGATGAGAGAGAGAGAGAGATGACACATCAACCAGATCATCTCTTTTCATTCTCTGCAGCAATTTCTACCCTTCTGTTGGCTACTGAGGTCCGGCCACCCCTTCTCTTACCTTTTGCAACAGTTCAATTTCCTTCTGTTTTGAGTTGAGAATAGCCAAGGCTTGTTCATGCTCTAGTTCCAGCTGTTGCCGCCGTTCAGCAGCCTCTCGCATATGCTGGGGAGAGAAAGGAAGACAACCACAGCGGTTGAAGCTAGCAAGCTGTAGGGAGTCCTTGACTTATAAGCAGAATTTGCATTGCTAAGGAGGATGGTGGTTAAAGGTTAGGGTCCTTAAGAGTTATAGGCGTTGCTTGGTTTTATGATTCTGTTGTTACCCACCAGCAACCAACGCATCTGGTGGCAGACTCAGAGAGTGAGGAGGTTGGGGAGGAACCTAGGCCAGTCCTGGAGTCTCGGGAAGGCTCTGACGAGGGCTCTGTGTCGGAGGCAGAGAGGGGGCCAGGGCCGTATGCCAGTTATCAGCTGCCTACGGAGTCAGACATCAGTGAGGCAGACAAACAGCTGGAGCCTGTTCCCAATGTGTGTATGCACAGAGTTGCCAGGAGAAGGGAACAATTAAGGAACGGGGTCGACTCGGGAGTAAAACCACAAGTGGACATTGAATGGCCCCTCCCATAGGGAATAAATGGGAGCAAACGGGGAGTGGAGTTTGCAGGAGACAATTAGTTTAGCAATAGCAATAGCAGTTAGACTTATATACCGCTTCATAGGGCTTTCAGCCCTCTCTAAGCGGTTTACAGAGTCAGCATATTGCCCCCAACAACAATCTGGGTCCTCATTTTACCCACCTCAGAAGGATGGAAGGCTAAGTCAACCCTGATCCGGTGAGATTTGAACAGCCGAACTGCAGAACTGCAGTCAGCTGAAGTAGCCTGCAGTGCTGCATTTAACCACTGCACCACCTTGGCTCTAGTTTGTTTATTATTGTGAAGATTTGCTTGTCTGAGTTTATGTTTTCGTCAGGTATTTCACTGTACAGCATTGCGAAAAGAAGCTCTCGGCCTGGCAACTATCCAAGGACTGATAAGGTCTGTTGTTGCAATTAAATCTTTAAGACTTATTGCCAGGATTTTTCTGGATGTGAATGTTAGGAATTCACATTAACCAAAAAAAGAAGGGGGGGGTTTGCGAGACAACGAGTCTGTTTCGTGATTCTCGCATTCGCATGCTTTTGAATGGCTAGGTGGGTAGGAGCTGGAGCACGGTACGGGAGCTCACCCCATTGCATGATGTTTGGGTCTCAAACCCTTTCCAACTGACAAGCTCAGCGTCTTTAACCACCGAGCCATCGTGCCCCCTCGAAAATACACGTGGTTTACAAATGCCCAAATTTTGATCACATGATTGTGAGGAGGCTGCAATGGTTTGAAGTGCAAGGATGGGTCGCTTATTTTCAGTGCCCTTATGACTTTGACCAGTCGTTAAATGAATGGTTGGAAGTCAAGGACTGCCTGTACTGTTGGCTGTCCTATTCTAAAGGTGTTCCCTTTCCATATATGTGCTAGTCATTCCCGACTCTAGGGGGCGGTGCTCATCTCCATTTCAAAGCCGAAGAGCCAGCGCTGTCCAAAGACATCTCCGTGGTCATGTGACCAGCATGACTCAACACCGAAGGCGCACGGAACGCTGTGACCTTCCCACCAAAGGTGGTCCCTATTTTTCTACTGGCATTTTGTTATGTGCTTTCGAACTGCTAAGTTGGCAGAAGCTGGGACAAGTCACGGGCGCTCACTCCGTTACGCAGTGCTCGGGATTCGAACTGCTGACCTTTCTGATCAACAAGCTCAGTGTCTTAGCCACTGAGGGCTTTCGTAGTAATACCAACCCTACCTTTAGGACTTGCTCTAAGTTCTCCAGTTTGGCTTGGAGATGGTGTTTCCTCCAGAGAGCCAAATCTCGTTCTTTGGTTACTACAGCAAGGACTTCTCTAAGCCGGTCATCCTTGTTTTACACCTAGAAAGCAAACAGGAAGGGGGTGGGGGAAAATGAGGGTTAAAAACCCCTTTCCATACTCACATTCTTGTCAACAGAAGGTGAACAATTGTCTCTGAATGAGATTCCTTCTACTATTTATCCCCCAACTATAGAAGACAGGAGAAGTTCTGAAGTTCAACCATTGTAGCAGTTGGATAGATTTTAATGTCAGAGTCACAAAGGACAACACCCCAAAGTCAAAGAACTACCATCTCAGGGAAACAATCAAACAGTAAACAACAACCTAATCAAGGCGCCACCAAGAACACTCCCACCAACACTGACAGGGCAAGCCAGTTGTATAGAAACAGAGAGCAAACCCCACACCCTTCTATTCCTGATGATGTTACCTAGTTGGGTAATGAAATGTCTGTAAACCATCCAGCTCAAAGAGCACCAAGGATCTCCTCCTCCTCCCTGTTCCCCCTCATCTCTCTTCTCCACCCTGCAAACTCCCCTCCTTTCCAGCACTGATGATGTTACCCAGGTGGGTAATAAAACATCTGCAAGAAAACAACCAAGCTCAGAGATCACCAAGGATCCCACAAATGAGGAATGAAAGAGATCCGGACTGACATTGGTTGGAGGATGCTCGATAGCCTCAGTATTAGGTACTGGCAGTGACATTCGGTGGTGAAAGATGAGCCTGACAGCATGGGGGCATCACAGAATTAAATTCACCAACCAAGAAGAAGAGAATGATGCTATGTGCCTCAAGTTATCAAAGCTTCAGGTCTTGGCTGCAGCCTTAAGCCTGACCTAGGCTTCCTGAGATAGTAAAAGGCACATACTTAATCCCAAAACCCCTCTTTTTATTTCAATGGCTGTGAATTATGTTCATTCACATCCCATAATGAGTCACAAATAGTTTGTAAAGAGTCGGACAGAAGTCTGCCAAAGTCTTTCGGGACAAGGCTGAAAAGCACCCAACTTTATCTCCCTTGAAACGCTGCCAGAGACCTAATTGGCATTTAGCTTTGCCAGGCCACACGGAGCATAGAGTCAAAATGGAGCTTCAGAGTTTAAACCGACCAGGACAAACGAAATTGCTTCCTGCAAAGGCTCCTTTGCTCATCCTTTATGTCTTATGGGAGGGTCCAATCATCTCCAAGCCTTACTCCCGAGTTGCCTTTTGGGGTCTTAACTGTTCTTGCCTTCTGGGAGCTCTGTGCATGCGCGCGCTGAGAATAGGCTCCCCTTATTCCTCTGCCTCATTGATGTCAGACTCTGGAGGTTCCAGAGGAAGAACATAACTCCCAAAGGCTCTGTCCCCATCTCTGCCTCCGACGCAGAGCCCTCGTCCGAGCCTTCCCCAGACTCCAAGAGTGGCCCATGTTCCTCCCCAACCTCCTCCCTGTCTGACTTTGCTGCTAGCTCCACAGGTTGCCAGCGGATCACAACAAAGCCAATTCAAAGAAATTTGCCTCTGATTTGAAAGTGCAGCCCCTTCTTTTGACTTAAACCCCCACCTTGCAAATTCCCTAGTTGTACTTGTAATACCTTGGGTGATACGCTTGCATATTGGAAGTTCAAAGGATCCTTTCCATCCCAGACATTTTTTCAGTTCATTTTCCTGCAAGGAAAGCAAAGAGGGACTTAAGCATTGCAGTGGTATTTTGTTCAAATGCTGCTGGTAGGTTGGATGGTGTTGGGATAAGATGGAAAATGTCCTGTAAAGAAATTGAGGGTTTTATTTATTTGCTAGCCGATAACCCAGTGTTGCTCGAGTATTTATTTATAGGGGACAAATATCCAGACCAAACGTAATTTCTAATGTTGGATTTTCCCCTTTATCAGAGGGAGCACCCTTGTGGAGTACTGTGAAGCTATTACCATGGCAACTTCACTGCGCTGTACAGTAGAATCCATTTTACGGCAGTACAGTAGAAGCCATTTTACGGCACAACAGGGTGTATCTTAACAGAACACACACCCAGAGGGTTGTTAGGGGTGTCTTACCCTGACAGTGTTTTTTTCCAGAGAGTAAGCCATCTTTGTACCAAATTTGGTTGAAATTGCTCAAGGCATTCCAGAGTTATGTTGGAACATACATACTGTATGTATGTATGTATGTATGTATGTATGTATGTATGTATGTATGTATGTATGTATGTATGTATGTATTTGTACCCCACCTTTATTATTTTTACCAATAACTCAAGGCAACAAACATATCCAACATACTTTTCTCTTCCTATTTTCCCCACAAAAACAACCCTGTGAGGGGGTTAGGGTGATACAGAGAGAGACTGGCTCAAAGTCACC